TCTACTGAGTTATCTTCCCAGCCCCAAAACTTTCTTCTTAAAGTAAAGATAACTATTATATTATTATTTGATATTCCTCCCAATAACATATTTCCTACATGAAGAGAAATCTAACATGCAGCTGGATACTGACTTGGGAAACACTGATTTCAACTGTCACAAAGCAATGTTCTTCTATGAGCCTGCACAAAATAATTGCTTGTAACTGAAAGCATTTACTCTGTAACCATGAATTTCCTCTTGTTTTTTTTTTTTTTTTTTTTATTCCACACCTTCTTCAAGAAAAAAAAAATTGTTTTCAGTAAAAGCATGACCTAGGGTATGCTGAGTTCTTACCACCACTGTAATGGGTTACTAGACAGAAAATGCAAGTGTCACTCAAAGAAATGCCATTTTTTCCAAGACAGAAGATGTTCTATGGACAGGAATGTATTGTCACAGTCTAGCATTTGCCTAGATCTGGAGGGCAAAGAGGAAAAACAGAGTACAATTTTAAGGTGGAGCTTTGATCACTAGCAGGAGGTAAAATAGAATTCTTTATACTCTGTGTAAAACTACTTTCTACTGCCTGAATGAAAAGACACTTTGCCAGCCACATCTTGCCAGAAGAATCACCCAACTTTATTGGGAAGGAGCAGTGCCATCATTGTACTGGCCATCTGCATTTGTGGACTCTATGGCCATGTGAAGGTAATTGTCAATTAGCAGTGTACATGGCTCACCTCGGTGTGCATGCGGTGCACATGTCTAGTTACTTCTTAGGCAGTCCTTTTTATGAACTATAAAGATTTCCCACATAGAAATATGTCTTTCTGATAAATATCTGAAAGAGATAAAAGTATTATTTAAATTGAGACCATACTGATAAACAACAAACTCTGCAGAACAGGAAGCATTCCATCTTATAGAATACCAGTTAAGAAGATTGATTTTTATCAACATATGCCACATAATGTGCTCTAAAAATGCTTTATGATTCCTGTCATGTTGTACTTTTAGTCTGAATTAATTCTTTAATCAAGGACCAGTGTTTGTGGGGCCAATATGGTGATGTCGACATCCATTAATCCACTAGCTTGAAGAATTTCAGGTTGTCATAAGTACAGAGATGTAGATGACATGAACAGAACTCAGATACACACACACACACACACACACACACACACACACACACACACACAGAGTACAATGCAAAAATAACAAAGAAATCTGGACAAAGCTTGTTAATAATTTAGTGTAATCCATTCTAGATTTGAATAAAACAAATCAAAGTATACCATGCTGGTGTGGTTTTCTTGTAAAAAAAAAAATCTCACTTTTTGCTTGTAGATTCAAGAAATGCCAATGTGAAGTAGCAAATGATCTGAGTTATAAAACCTCATAAATAAACATAGGTTTATTTCTCTGAGTACACACTGTAACACTACTGAACGGTATTCTGCTAGATATTCCTAGGAAGTTACCTTAAATGAAGCAAGGATCATGACTGGCCACCAGCACTGATGATTGCTTACTTTTCATGTGTGTGTCCCAACTTTTTTTTTGGGGGGGGATGGGGAGGGTGGGTACTGAGGGTAGAACTCAGGACCTCATGCTTGCCAGGCAAGCACTTATGCCACTGGGCTATCTCTCCATCCCCTGTCCTAACTTTTTAAAAACATGAGCCTTTATAAGCAAGCAAATACTATAGTATTATCCTGTAAACATCATCTCTATACTAGGTATTACTCAAGAGTTTGTCTGCTTGTAGAGCTAATTTTAACAGAAATACAGTATGACAGATGAAAAATAACTTGCCCAATATTTCGAAGCTGTTTAACCTTCAAGTTCTGCCTCGTTAGGTACCATACCACAGTACATTTGTTTGTGAAGTTATCAAAGACAGCATTTGCAGCATTTTGCATATACTTCACTTCTTAAACAATAGATGAACTTAAATTTAGTTTGTGCCTCAGTTGATCCTCAATACATTTTAGCTATACTTTCTTGCTTAAAGTGGTGAGATCATTAATGAATTGATAATATACTCAAGCAAACTGCCTACATTGTCCAAAATCCTGCGTGAGAAAAGGTGAGTCAAAAGTAACTGAACTCGTGCATTCATATATGCAAAAAAGTATCTGTGAATATTTTTCTGTGCTAGAAATGGAGCCACAGAAATGTAGAAAGTGGAACTGAGAGTTACTGAGAAAGACTCCAAGCCCACAAAGCAAGCACAGCAGAAAGTAATATGAAATGCCAGACCTATACACCACCGGAAGCCAAGGAAGTGTCACCCAGGTCTCTCATAGAATGCCCTTCTTTGTGCCAGGCTTAAAGACCTAGAGCCTCCCCTCTTGCCCCGTCCATGCAGAGCGCTCCCTGGACTTCAGCCGAACCTAGAGGTCCCCGTCCAAACTCACATCTCTCTGTCAGCCCGACGAAGGCACCACAGGTAACACAAGGAATCTGGGCTACGGCTGGAAACCAGAGGCTGAGGGTCATGCTCCCTCTCTGCTTCCCTCCTGGACTTCCAACAACCACCCCATGGCGACCACAGGGCTCCCAGGCGCACCGCGCCTCAGTGACTGTCCTCTTTCCTGCCTCTCCCCTCAGAGCGCTCAAGCTCCTGCAAAACGGAACGTGAAAATACAGACTACTTGCGGGTAACCTCTTTTTTTTTTTTTCCTTTTTAAATGTACTTCTTCTGTGGCCAACAGTCTGGCCACAAGTTTGAACCTCAGCCACAGGATGGAGGAAAAACAAAAATAAATTAACATTTTAATTATCTTAGCCACAGATAATATGCAAATTCTGCCTAGTCTCTATCACCACTCATTTTTTATTTACACTTGCTTCATGTTTTATTCTCTTTCTTTCTCCATTTCTTCTCCATGTTTCCCTTTTTCTTCTGTTCCTCTCCTGAAATAATGCTACTTTCAAGAACTCCATTTGAGGTACACCTCTTTTTGTGAAGACAGAGTCTCTCAATATAGTTCAGACTGGCCTTGAACTCACTATGTAGCCCAGGCTGGCCTTGAACTCGCAGTGAGCTGCCTGCCTCAGGCTCCCTAGCGCTGGGATTGCAGGCTTGCACCACGATGCCCTTTCATTCGGATTAACCTGGAGGAGAAACGTCTTGAATTTTAAGTAGTATTAGCCAGTAATTAACTCTGTGTCTGGGGAGACTTAAAGTGTGTGTTGGTGTATGTGTGTGTATACGTGAAATCATTTTTCTTTTTCCTTCTTAGCAGTGTTTGGTAATGACTGTCCCAATGGTCTTAATGGAAATCCAGCCCAAGAACTTCACTTACTACCCCTACAAATATAGCAAGCATGTAACCAGTGTGTGTGATTTAGATAATACGATAAACTCTCTAATTTGCAAATGCTGGTTTTCTGGCTTCTTCAGGCTCAGACACTTCAGTTGTTCAAGTTCCCAAGCCCCGCAACCATTTAACTCACCCAAGCTTGAGAGTGTTACAACACGAAGCTATGCTGAACAGATGTTCGAGGAGTCCCAGAACATTGTAAATTATGATGAATTAATTTGCTCATTTCAGAGTTTGACAAAGCAGCTCTCAGAGGCTGCCCTGCACTCCGCTACAGGAAAGGAAGAGTGAAAAAAGCAGCCGGCCGAGGATCCAGGACAAAGTGTCTCCTGAGTTTCAGTAAGTGGCTCTGTCACATAAAACTTATGTCGGCTGTTAAGTGGCCACGCCAGCTGCATCCCATGTGCCACCGACGTGCTGGCCTCTTATTTCTCCCACTCGGTTATTGTGTCTATAAATCCACCGGGCCACCTGTGCAGTGCGCTCATCAGCAGGGCCCCAGAGGAAGCGTTAACGTAGCAAGGCTCATAAAGCACCAATCCTTAAATGTAAAAACCGACACTTTCATCCTCTCCGGGCTACATCTGTATAGATTTCTTTTTAATGAAAAGAAGAGCTTATTTTTCTGCTTATAGTAAAAGGACTGTATATGGTGTTGCACGATTAATGATTATATTTTTTGAATATCTGCTAATGTGAAGCTGCCTAATTTGTTCTTGTCTGAAACTGTATCAGTCCATGGCTAAAATATTCATTCTTACTAGGAACTCGGCATTCATTTTAATCATGAAAACAACCCATGCCAGGTACAGAAGAAAGGAAGAAAGGAAAAGGAAAGAAGGAAAGAGAGAGACACACACGGGGGGGAAGGAGGGAGGGAGAGAGAGAGAGAACATAATATATCTTTTTCTTTTTTCAGTTGTCTTTTAAATTTTCTTTCCTAAAAATTTGTTGCCTACTGGGAAAATCTAATATTGTACAAAATCCACTTCTCTATTTTGCATTTCATTCCAACAAAGTTAGTCAAAAATTTTAATGTATTTAGCAGCACTTTCAACATTCGTCTATAATCTGGACGGGTGTGATGATCCATGTCTGTCTCTTTTGTTACAGCATGAACCCTAACAATAGCTAATAAAGCATTCATAGAAGGTCAGTAGATCATTTAAGGACTTCTTTTTGTATTTATGTTCACCTTCTCAGTACTTTGTATCCCATCCTAAGGAGCAAGAGAACACTGGAAAGTGGAGGGCAGAAAATAAAGGGAGGCGATTGGTGCAGTTACAAAGTTATCCACTGTAGAGAGAAGCTACAGTGCACGAATATTGTACACAGAGAATAGTATGTGCACTTCATACAGAGAATAAGTAAATGGAACAAAGTAAAGCAAAAGCTTTCCATTCAAAAGAGCCAGCATGGAGAGTCAGGTTACTTACTAAGCCTTTGATGATCAAAAATGTTTTTCAATGTTTATACTCCAGTCACCATTTGTACGCTCCACATTCAGTGGAGAGAGTAGAAGGGGCAGTGGGTTTGGCAGGGAAGAGAAGCGGAGGTACTGAAGGTATTGATGGATACATAATGTCAAACCAGTGCAATGAACAGAAGACAAAGAGAAGCTCCAGGGTTTAATGACCCCAGATCCCCATGAGACAGCAGGAGCATGTATCTTGGAGTATGTGCTCAAAAGCTGAATTCAAGGTGCAATATTCTTCCATCAGATCCTACTGAGAGAACATTGGAAGCTGTCATCAAAACATGACTGTTATTTAAGAAAAACAACTGGCACACATTTGGGATGCTTCTTGGGTGATAAGGACCAAGTTCCCTACTTACAAGGAAGTGAGAGAAATAGATCCGACAGGCATATAAGCTAGTTAAATGTCACTATATGCAACATAGTGTAAGGTCTGGTCTCTATCCTTGTCCTGGTCCCCTGAGATACCATATCCAGGAAAAATGTCTTTGTTTACCTGAGGGCTGTGGGCCACACTATATATCTTAACACTATATCTTATGGCATGACTTCAGGCTCTGTGTCAACAGCTCAACTGCCAGAGGGACTTGAAACTACAGGGGTCTGTTGCCCTTCTAAAGAACAGGAGGCTGGAGTCAGCCACTCGGGCAGTCAACTACATGACTGTCCCCTGATAAATAGAAATGACACAGGATCAGTTGAGCTTCCAGTGTGTGATGTCACATACCACTGCCAGGAAGGGAATGCTATCTGTGATGCTCTGAGAACAGGACAGCCAAAAGACTCTTGTTTAGAACCTTGCTGAATTCTGCCCTACAAATCATGTCCCTTGGCTGATTTTTATTTCTTCTTTCCCTGCAGTGAACTATGCTTGTGAACAAAGCCATCTTCAAGTGGTCTTGGGAGCCCCTGAATTCTGCAGGTGCTGCAGAATTGAGGTATAAAAGCAGGCTTGTGAATTATTCCATAATTGTATACTGAGCTTCTCTGAACACACACACACACACACACACACACACACACACAACACACACACACACATACACACACACCAGCAATAACTACTGTAACATGAATTTCCTGATCATGGTATCTCCCCTGCCAGGTTAAGTACTGTAACATGAATTTCAAACGAAAAACTGCCATGCATTTTAGGTGCTGTTAGGTATCCTTTCTCGGGCCTGCATCGTGCTTCCAGAATGGCTACTTGCCAAGCAGTAACAACCGACAGGGGCTGTGCAGCTTGAGTAAATCCAACTGGCTTGGAAAGCTCACATAGTAATTTGTTTATTGCCTACTGGACAGCAAGTGCACTACTTGTTTTGCATTTGTCCTCAGCCAGAGCAGAAAACTAACCTGAGCCTAAAATTAATACCTAGATAATATTTTTACTGTTCTAACCAATGCAACCTTAAAGATTTGACTATTGTAGGGCTGGGGTGATGGCTCATTAGAATAAGCACTTGCCTGGCAAATGCAAGGACCTGAGTTCAATCCCCAGTTCTGAAAAAAAAAAAAAAAAAAAAAAAGATTTCACTATCATGCTCATAATGGTAACCATAGACATCTGCATAAGAAATGTCAGCTGTGTGCCACAGACGACTTCAAGTGATTTAGATAAATTGATCTACAGTCCTCACAATTACGTTGTCTGTCACAACTGATGTTTAACCAATTTATGCATTTTTATATGAAAAAGAGAAAAAAGTCTTATGCACAACAGTTTAGTTGAGTTAAATGATTTGGTGGCCCTTGGAAAGACCAATTTATTTCACTGGTTAAAGATAACCAGCCCTTTTTTTCTCAGATCTGTGGTAAGGATTTTTAGTACTTTAGAAAGAATATTCTGAGATCACTAGTCTTCAAGAAAACATCATTTTGGGGCTGACCAGGTAGCTCAGTGGACTAAAGCACCTGCTTAGGCAGAGCGCAATCGCAGGGATTCAGTCTCCGGCGTGCCATGCCAGACCCACCCCGGGGAGCACTGAGATAGCACTTGAAACTGGGTGTGGTGGCACATGCCTGTAATACCAGCTCTTAGGAGGCTGTAAACAGGCAGATCACTGCAAGTTCAATCTAGTAGTGAGACCTTGAATACCTTGAACACCCTTCCCTAAAATACAAAAAAAAAAAAAAAAAAAAAAGAGAAAGAAAGAATAATTGATTCTATACATTGCTTAGTGTATAATTTTCTGATTAATTTTTGATAGGTCTAATTGCCAGAAGTATAATGTATATGTACAATTGATGCTTTTTCTTCCTGTGTAGTAATAAAAGAGTATGGTGATAGACTAAAACAGATATATAGACTGAGGAATTGAACAGAGAGTGCAAAAATAAATCCTTACAATTTCAGTTGATCTAACTTCAACAAAATCTGCTAACATCTTTCAGTGGAGAAATGAAAACCCCTTCAATAATCATGGTGAGAATACTGGCTATCTACAGACAGAAGAAAAACAGGGCCATTATCTCCTATCATATGCAAAAAACCAACTGAAAATGGATTAAAGGTTTAACTATAAATCCTGAAATGTAGGACTTGAAACTAAAACAACTAAAAATGAACACAGGAAATATTTTTCTTGACATTGGCCTAGAAGATAAGTTTTTGTTATATAATCCCAAAGCTTAGGCAACAAAAGCAAAAATAGACTAATGGTAGTTATCAAACCAGAAGCTTCATATAACAAAAGAAATCATCCATAGTGATGATACAATATATGGAGCAAAAGAAGGTATTTGCAAATCACACATCCAATAAACAGTTAATAACAAATATACAAAAACTCTGACAACTCAATAGTGAGAAGATAAAGAACTCAATAAAATATAGGCAGAGGGCATTTCTCCAAAAAGATATACAAATGGCTACCAGGTGTATAAAAAGGGCTCAGCATCCTTAGTCATGTAGGTAGTGAAAATCAAGAGTACCGATGAAGCATCACTTCACACCTCGTAGAGTTCTGTTATCAAGAAGACAAAACATAGCAAGTGTTGGCGAGGATGCAGAGAGCAAAGAACTTTGCACCTTGATGTTGGGACTGTAAATTGGATTGTACTTTTTAGAGGAAACAATATGGAAGTTCCTCAAGAAACTAAAAGCACACTTCTACATGATCCAGCAGTCCCACTGCTGTGTAAATAGCTAAAGGAAACGAAATCAAGTTTTCAAAGAAACATCTGAATATTCATGTTCATTACAGCATTAGTCAGAATAGTCCGGGTACAGAATCCACTAAGAGATTGTCAACAGATGAATGGATAAAACACACACACACACACACACACACACACACACACACACACACACATATATATACACACACATATACAAATAAAACACACATATGAAAGCAAAACACATACACATATACACACAAACACATATATGAAAACACAAAACACATACATATATACACATACACATATGTCAATGGGATATTATATATATATGTATGTATATAAACAATAGACTATTATGTAGCCTTTAAAAAGAAGGAAAGTCTGATATTTAAGCAACATGTATAAACTTGGAACACTTATGTTAGGCAAAAGAGTTCAGGCAGAGAAAGAGAAGCACAGCATCTTTGCATTCCCATGTTGAATTTAAAAAGCTGAACTCATCAAAGCAGACAGTAAAATAATTGCCAGGGGAGGGAAATAAAGCTTAATTCAAAAGTTACAAAGTTTGATGCATGCGGGATGAATAAGTTCTGGAAATTTAATAAGCAGCATGATGACTCTAGGCAATAATATTGCCTAGATGAACTTACTGAGATTAGATTTTTTTTTTAGTAAGGGTCTATAGGGTCTACAGGGTCTCACTACAAAGATCAGACTCGTAGTGATCCACCTGTGTTCAGCCTCCCAAGTGCTGGGATTACAGGCATGTGCCACCACACCTAGTCTCCATTGCTGTCTCAGCACACCCTGGGGGCAGGGTCAGCATGGCATGCCAAGGATCGAGCCCTGGCTGCTACTTCTGCCTAAGTAGGCGCTTTAATTTGCTGAGATATTTGGCGAGCCCTGGGAGTAGATCTTAGATGTCCTTACCATATACACGAAAAGGATACTGATGTGAGAGGTAGCTGTGTTTATTAGTTTAATTGTGGTAATCATTTTACAGTGTATACTTATATCAAAATGCCAAGTGGTATACCTTACATACATACAGTTTTTATTTGGCAATTATATTTTGGTAAATCTAGAAAGAATAAATAACACTTACTTTGAGAATTAAGCAAACATATGTAGATGGAATTTACCAAAAAATGAAAAAAAATTCTTATACAAACTTATATCATTGTTATTACTTTCATGAATTTGAATATCATATTACAAAAGATAAATAAATAAATCATTCTTTTCTGGAATTATATATATTCTTTTGTGAAATGAGATTTGATGTAAAAAATAAGAGATGGGAGACAATAACTGTTAATGCTAACAGACAGTTTTAAAGTATTTTTTTATTGATTGTTAAATTTTGGTAAATTTAAGTAAAATTAGTTTTATAAAACCAAAAGAATGTGATAACAGTGAATAAGTCTAACTTAGAATTTTTCTTTGAAGGCATTTTTGTACTAGTTGATATCCGATGTGAAGAGGATTTTGATTATCTTCCTTTTTCATATTTGAAGTACTCTTTCCTTTAAACAATTCAAATCAAAGAGTCACTAGAACTTAACTATAATTAGAAACTCTCAGTAGGCTCATAAGTGGAGTTGGCACAGAAATCACGTCATGACTACTTTTCCAAATAAATTTTGAATATCATTAAATTAAATGTAATATTTTTAACCATCCAGCACAATGTCCTGCTCATTTAAGTAAGTTCATAGTCATCAATATAGAGCTATAAACACCTCACTGCAATGACAAATTCCTGGAGGTGGCAACAAATCACACGGCTGGTGGAGTGTGCCTCTCTAGAAAAGCCTTGAGCCACAGTGTGGTGTTTCAGGGCTCCACCTGGATCCCTGGACTTCTCAGGGTACACCTCTATGCTAAAAATCCCTTCCTGCTTCACCACAGGAAGTCATGTGGTCATTACCTGGGTCGGACACCAAGCCTCAGTTTTTGTATTTTGAGTAAATTTGACAAGTGAGCCTGCCAAGCATGGCATGGAAAGACTGGTCAGAGCAGGAGCAAAGAGAATGAGATTCAGGTCCAAATTCTGTCACTTAGTTTTGAGTGAACTTGAGGACCAACTGACTTCCTAAAGCCTTAGATTCCTCTGAAAAATAAACTCACTACCCTCCTACCTAATGCTAAAATGAAAGCAGTTTAAAATCCCTGAGGCACGACGAAGTCTAGCATGCTTTGAGTCACCTGGAAACTCTTAACACACAGGGCCTAGCCTGTGCCCCCAGAATGTCTGGCTCAGTCCATCGATATGGGGCCAGGGAATATACATTTCTGATTAGCTGCCAGAAGATGCTGATGGTGCTGGAGCTGGAGCTATGCTTCTGAGATGACTGTTCTAAAGTCCTACCCACCATGTACAAGACAATAACAAGGCTATCACACTAGGTACCTTCATAGCCATAGATGGTATACTGGAGAATCAAGTCTTCTAAGATATAATACAATCCATTACACAAAGTTGTGCAAAGCTAAATGCTGCATGTCACCTCAGAAAATAAAAATGCAGAATTCTGGTCTTGAAACTATTTTTTGGGCAAAAATTCAAAAATTTAATTTAAAACCTACAAAGACTCTGAAAACATATTTGCATAGGAGACAAATTTATTTTCAAAAACAATGGAAAATATGATGACATGAATAACACACTTTGCCTCACAGCTTACGGGGTGACATTGATGTGACTTTTCTTCCCATGCTCCTCAGAGTACCGTAGTTTATGTCCTTAAGTGGATCTGGGGCAAAGAGGTTCTGTTAAAAATGGTATTGTCACAGGCATTTCCCCTGTCACT